CTTCCTCCTCATGGTCCGGCCACGCCCTCGGCATCCTCCTCTGCAGCCGGCTATCTGTCCTCTGACACTAGCTGGCATTCAACCCACTTCCGGTGAGCCAGGCTGTCATGGACCCGCCCCCTGGGGGGAGGTCTTTAAGTAGCCAAAGATCTCACTACTTCTGGATTGGAAGGTGCTCAGGAGGAAGCATTTCCTCAGTCTCCCCTCCCCCACTGATCAGTCTGTTGTAGGCAGGAGGAAGCACTTCCTCAGTCTCCCCTCCCCCAGTGATCAGTCTGCTACAGGGAGCAGGAAGCATTTCCTCATGCGGGGGCGGGGAGTACAGATATACGGCGAGGGAGCCGGGGGCGGGGAGTACAGATATATGGCGAGGGAGCCGGGGGCGGGGAGTACAGATATATGGCGAGGGAGCCGGGGGCGGGGAGTACAGATATACGGGGAGAGCGCCGGGTGTAATGATGTCATCGCGGAATAACACGCCACTTATCCGGAATCTTCTCTCCTTCACAGTAATGACACAAAGTCAACAGGAGGAAGTGATCGGTTTCCATGGTAACCGGAATCCGGCTTCCTATAGATCATATAGTGCGAGGAGAATCGGGGCGACCTTCCTGTCTGTAGAAGGGAGAGAGAGAAGACTACAGGAACGCCGCCCCCGACTCCCCCAATCATCCTCTGCAGGGACAACAATGTATCACCCACCGAAGGTTTCCGTCTGTTCCTGCAAGAAGGGGGACGGCGCTGCCAAGTACTACAACCCTCATCTTCTCAATCCGTTAAAGCCGAACCCCGGAATTTATTTATAGTTTAGGGGTTTTTAAAAAATATTTATATTTATTATTATTATAATTTGGCTGCTGCCAAATTAAAGGACGACTCCGGGACGTGGTCTCAGGTTTATATGGAGATTTCCCCTCATTTCCTGTCCCGGTGACACCAATACATGAGCAGGAAATCAAATTTGGGGGAGCTCATCAGTCCGCTGCTTCTCCTTTCTCCGTCCAATCACAGGCTGGGGGAGGGACAAGTCCCTGTAAGTGTAACTTAGCTGCAGCAGATGAACATCGGGTCTCCTGCCAGACAGTGTTGTGCTTTGTGGCGGACCTGTGTAAATCACAGGACAGGTTGGCTTGTGTCCCCGTGACCGCGGCCGGCTGGCCCTCCCTGACCTCTGTGCGCGGCGCCCCATGTCATCCCCTGCGCCGAACGGGCTCGGATCACTGGCAGCGCCGGCGCTCTCCTTCGCCTCCCATTGACCAGCGCGGCGTTAAACAGACGCAATGCGCCCCACCGGTCAGACCCGC